TCCTTCATGCAGCCACAAGAGGGCGCCGGAGGTCCAATTACAGGAAGCCCAGTTCTTCCTTACCAGAGATTCCTGCAGTCAGTTTCATCATCATCATCATCATCTGCATCCTCCTCCTCAGAGTAGCAGAGATGAAGGCCTCCCTCCACAGGCAGGAGGAAGGTTTCTAAAGACATCGCATTCAGACAAACATGGACTCTCTGAAGAAAAGAAGAAAAACAGAGAATGAACCCAAAACACAGGAGGCGGCGTGGGTGAAACTGTCACCATGGAGACACAGCCTTCACAGTTCATACCGCCTGACAAAATGTTAATGCAATCAGTTGTTGCTAAGCAACAGCAGGCTGTAGATGGTTGGATGGAGAGTCTTTGAAGATAGATGGAAATGATGGAGGCGTTGTTTTAAAAAAACAGAGATTTTACCACAGCGGCTTAAAGATCTGAGAGGGAGGTGATTCCTCACACTCTGGATTATAATCCAGTCCTTTCATCCTCAGAGTCAGATCTATCTATCTATCTATCTATCTATCTATCTATCTATCTATCTATCTATCTATCTATCTATCTATCTATCTATCTATCTATCTATCTATCTATCTATCTATCTATCTATCTATCTATCTATCTATCTATCTATCTATCTATCTATCTATCTATCTATCTATCTATCTATCTATCTATCTATCTATCTATCTATCTATCTATCTATCTATCTATCTATCTATCTATCTATCTATCTATCTATCTATCTATCTATCTATCTATCTATCTATCTATCTATCTATCTATCTATCTATCTATCTATCTATCTATCTATCTAGACTAAGTGTTTATTTATAATGATCATTTTATTTCTTAAAGGAGACAAACATCCAAATCAACCTGACTTTTGGGAAATAGTCATTTCCTCCTATAAACTCTGGAAGGCAAAGACTGCCATTAAATATTTAAGGTAACTGGTTGTGAATTTTTAGATGTAGAGGGTTTTCCGTCCCTCTGTTCTCTGCAGAATTGTTTAATGTCGGTTGTGGTTTTCTGGCATGAACAGCCTTTTTAAGGTCACGCTGTTTCATTCTAGTTCAGACTTGTTCCAGGCCAGGGCTGTATTTAAGAGGGCCAGTTCCCAGTTCACTTCCAAAAAGCATCTGCTCTGGTATTATAACTAGCAATTTTAGCCATGTGTTCACTTTAAAAGAACACATGCCTCTACTTTATGTCATGCCTTTCTTGGTTGTTGGGAGCCAGGTAAAGGTCGGATCTGGCCTGCAGGCCTGAAGTTTGACACATATGATTTGGCCATTTCATTTTAAAACCTTGTTGTTGTCTTTTTGAATAATTCAAAGGCTCACTAATGGGCTATAGATCATTATTTCACCAATCAAGTGTGCTTAACTTTTAACCTTTATCCATGAGGCAGACACCCTGTCTACATCTGTGACTGGGCTTAAAACAAAGTTAGAGTGACTCAAGTTATCCTCTCTATAGTTTTGCTGCTATGGACTTAACCTGCTGGAGGACATAGGGACCGATTTTCATCACTCTGCTTTATTCAATTCCAATTAAATTCTAAAATATTTTATTTATCTCAAAGGGAAATTAAATGTTGTTGTTTTTTCATCAACTTGTTGTAGGTGGATATAACTCTATTCTCCAGTCTGCAGTAATTGTTTGTTCAACTCATAACTTTATGTTCTCTCTGCTTTTTCATGTATTTGCAACTTTATCTGATCTGGTCCTGTTTGCCTGACTCCATCCTGGAAAGACCAATCAGCTAGGCTGGGCCCATCAACACCTTCAATTTTAGATGATGATAGGTGGGCCTGCTTTTCAGTGTTTAGTCCTGTTTCTCTCCTCTATAGCTATCGGGTAAGCTTTTACTGTGACTAACTGGAGGTGCTCTCTTTCATCCTTTGAAATGAAAACTACCACAGAGCTTATCTGCTCCACTCTTTCTTTCCTCGACAGAGCCATCAATGGAGCTATTTCAATGATAACTTTTCTAACATAAAATATATTTATAGATCAGCGATTCTATGTTTATTCTATGTCTGCTTCTGTCTCCTTGAACTCCAGTCGGCCTCAGTAGATGGCCGATCAAGCAGAGCCTGGTTTTGCTGGAGGTTTCTTCCTGTTAAAAGGGAGTTTTCCCTCTCTACTGTTGCTGCATGCATGCTCTGTAGAGTCATCAAAATGCAGGAGAATATCTACTGTCACCAAATGCCCATAGAGGAGAGAGTCCTGCAAAATCAAAGGACTGGAGGAAAGGAAATCAGCTGGTTTCCTTAGTCAGGTACCCCTCTGACTGTCTGATCTGACTGAATTTTCTCTGTAAAGTGCCTTCAGATTAAATGTGTTATATATATTTTTTATGAATTAACTCTTACTGCCACTATGACGCTACAGTTTGCCATTTTAACAGTTTTATATGGCAGGCTGAGCCCTACCAAGAGTTAAACAACAGCAGCTGATTTGATTCGTGTTGTCTCAGGTTTTTTGGGGAATTTTAGGCAGACCAGTTAATAGATTGATGTAAAAAATGCAGGCTACTGATCAGGGACGGATTACGGAAATTTGGGGCCAGGATGGGGGCCCTCTAGAAAACTACACATCAAATAGATCCGTACATATACAGAAGCTTTAATAGAATAGACATCTATTAATTGTTCTAGGTTGTGTCCCTCTCTTCTTGTCTCTTTTCTTCTTGTTTTCCTCTCTATGTTTTGTACTCAGCTGACTTTTCATGCTGTCTCTAAAGGAATGAAAGATTTTTTCCAAGCACTAAGCTCACTTAGCTGATTGCTCCTTCCTGTGTTTCAAAAAAAGGCAAAAGTAAATAACCCAGTCCTTCTTTTCACTGTAGACAAGCCATGATCTGCTTATCTGTTCTCCATTTTTCATTTGGATGAAATAATAGCTGCATGAATCATGACAGCAGACAAGATAGAGGAGAGCAGGAGGCAGGGTTACCAATCTACTTGCTCTGGAGAGCAGAGTTTGCTGCTTTTAGAAGTCGCTAGATTTGGCGCTAGGCGCTTTTTTGACATAAAAGTGCTAGAGGGGTCAGATATAAATAAATATATCTGTTGGCAACAAGGCTTTTCGCACAGATTGTTTTCAAATGGTTTGCTGCTGTCTGTTTGGACCTTTCTAAACATGTGCAGCAAATGGACTGATCCAATATGGTGGACACGGAGGGGGGGGGGGGGGGGGGGGGGTTTAAGTGTGAAGTATGAAGACACACTTAATATTATAAGCATTCTGATGGCATTTTAGTGAAAGGATTTTTATTAGAAACATCATTAATGTGCACAATTTTTAAATAGTTGTATTGAGCATACATGTAAAAAGTTTCATGGGCCCCCCAGGAACTTGGGGCCCTAGAAAACTGCCTAATATTGCCTAATGGTAAATCCTTTCACATTTCATTTGCCCAGAAACAATTTTTACTTGCCCAGTATAATGTTTGATAAATATAGTTCCTAATATTCATTTTTGTATATATATATCAATGAAACATGTTTGTTTTTTTGTAATTCAGTCAGTTTCCAGGTTCCTGGTGTGTATCTGCATGCGTCAGATAATGAACTCAAGCCTACATTACCGTGTTAACATGCTTTACAATCTTTCCTGCACATTCTTTTCAAACTAAACTTTGCTTTAAACTGTTTTGTGCTTGGAAAAATATAAATTGTAATGTTAAAAATCTAAAAAACACTTGACAGGTTAAAAACTTACACTACTACTACTCACCAATTTAACATGTCTAGCTCTATAACATTTAAATGCACCACTCCAATGTCTAAGAGAAAAAGATTTAATGAACATTTTTTAATGTATGACCACTGAACAGAAGACTGCCATATGATAGAAATATTTACACTGTGCGCATACAATTATTATTATTATTTTCCAAATCCCTGGCTGATCATTTCTAATCTAGCGTGTATTATAGTATAGATTAAATTCATCATCCAGCTGCTGCTCTGCAGAATTCTCTCCCCAAGAGCTGAATCATGCCATCTAGCGGAAAATCACGCCGCTTTTTCAAATTAAGCGAGAATGTGTTCAAAACAACAAAAAGCAACGCTTGTGGGTCGTTTTCAGCGAATGTCGGTGATTTTAATGTATTTTTGAGTGATACATTTTTTTTTTTTTTTTTTTTGCGATCATTGCATTTGCCCGCCGGGCAAGTGCAATGAAATTTGTACTCTCCCGACAATAAAAACTACTTGACCCGGGAGATCGGGCGATGGTTAACATCGAACCCCGTTCAGATACATATAGTCTTCCAGGTCCAGATGCAGCACTGTGATGCTGTGTTTTCAAAGATGTTTAACTTTGTCCCATAAATTTTCTTATTATTGCCCCTAATACAACTGGAATTGTACTGCTCAGTGGTGCATTGGGTAGCACTGCCACCTTGGGTTCGACCCCTGGCACGGGGTCTTTCTACTTGTGTAGGTTCTCTCCAGGTACTCCTGCTTCCTCCTACAGTCCAAAAACATGAGTTAGGTTAATGGGCTTCTCTAAATTCTCCTTAGGTATGAATGGTTGTTTGTCACAATGGACTGGTGACCTGTCCAGGGTGGACCCTGCCTCTCACCCGTAGACAGCTGGAGATTGGCACCATCATCATTAGCTACCCAACTTGGGAGAAGTGTTCCAGAAAATGGATGGATGGATAACTGGAATTATACAGACGCTAATTTGAGATCTATTAGCCTACTTCGTGTTGTCAGACAGAAAAGCGTTTTATTGATTCTACAGGTGCTGAGTTATCTGACCTTAAAGTGGTCAGAAAAATTTAACCAGAAGAAGATTTAGATTGAATTGGAGAGATTTTGGCCCTATATTAAGAAGTGATTTGGAATAAGTTTTCATTTCAGCGCAGATGTGGAAAATGTGACACTAACGTTGAGATTTAGTATCTTTTGTGTGTTTCTGATGAGACGTTTTATCTGTGGGTTTGAAACTCAGAGGAAAGCAGCCAGACTCAGTCGATCTGTTGTTTGGTTTGTTTATTAACAGCAACAACAGCCTCCATGCAGAATGAGGGAACAGTAAACTTGCACAGCCATGTGTGCTACTCGGAGCTCAGCTCTCACTGAGCTGGTGTGTTTCAGATGTCACACCACAGACCACAGGACAACATATCCCACAAAGCATCGGTGCAGCTTCAACCTGCACGCACCTGGAGCACCTCCAGTCATTTCATAGAAAAAAAAGTGACATCGTGTTTCACGTTAACCTGGCCAGAGAAACATCTGGATTCTTCTCTAAAATATACACACTCTGATTGTAAAACAGTGACACTGAGAGGTAGACAGTCCATCTAGAAAAATAGAGATGTGTTGCAAACATGAGACTCTTCAAATATAGAAAGCTGTTTACAGAAAAATATCAACAACAGGAGCACGACATTCTGACGTCGACATTCACAGAGTCTCTTCACGGCTTCATGCAGAAAAAAGTTGGTTTTATTTTACAGCAGAGGCCTTCCTCCAGGCTGCGGGGTCACAGGGTCACAGAGGCCCGCTCAGCTGCTGGCTCGGTCCGCACCTGAACCCTCAGGGCACTGCAACAGCACCTGTACACCGGTATGACGTCACGTCTGTCCGGTTCTCGGTTGAAATCCGAAAAAACTTCCAAAAAAACACCTCCAAATGTTCGTTTGTTTTAGACGCCAGGCGCGTTCAGGGCCAGAGAGTAGGCGGCCATCATCTGAGCGCGCAGCTGCTGCTTCACGTGCACGCGCCCGTGCCTCTTCCTCTCGTCGCTGCGCGCGAACCTCTTGCCGCACACGTCGCAGGAGAAGGGCTTCTCCCCGGTGTGCGTGCGCGTGTGCGTGGTCAGGTGGTCGCTGCGGCTGAAGCTGCGCGCGCAGATGGTGCACTGGAAGGGCTTCTGGCCCGTGTGGATGCGCACGTGCCTGTTGAGCTCGTCGGAGCGCGAGAAGCGGCGCTCGCAGCCCTGTACGGAGCACGGGAACGGCTTGGGTTTGACGCCGCCCCGCGCGTGCGCCCTGCGCCCAGACCGCGGCTGCTTGGGCGCCCCCGCCGCCTGCGCGCCGCTTATGTTAACCAGCGGGAACGCGCCCTGCAGGAGGGAGGAAAGCAGGTGCGCGTCCAGGGTGGAAGGAGCGCTGCTGATGACGTAGTTACCGGAGTCCCCGCCGGTTACTGGAACCGGTAAACCCTTCAGCCAGTCCTCCAGCTCCAGCGGCTCCTGCTTCACTTCACAGCCGGGCTTCAGTTCGCTCTGCCCGGCCTCGGAGCTCAGCAGAGACTCGATGAAATCAGCCACATCCATCTGTTGCTCCAGAGCAATGAGCGGGAGGAGAGAGTCTGCAGCAGGCAGGAGCAGAGCATCACTCCCGGGCGTGGAGGTCTGAGAGCAGCCGCTGCTGCAGCTGGAGCTCCCAAACTCTGATTTGATCACCACTGGTGCTGAAGCTGCGGATGCAGGCAGCTGCTCTGCAGCCGGAGGAGGGAGGCTGAAGTCGGGGGCGGGCTGCTGCTGCTGCTGCTCCATCTCAGTGCAAATCCCCACGATCTCAGTGATCATGTTCAGGATGGCGTCCGCGGTGCTGCTCAGCCCCGCAGCCGCAGGCTCCGGCTCAGCGAAGAAGCTCCCGGTGTAGCCGAGGGATGGAGAGAGGGTGTCCGAAGAGCAGTCACTCAAATCGGAGAAGAAGTCAGAGTCTGAGGCGTCAGTTCCAGGAGAGAAAACTATAGGGAAAAAAGGAAGGGGGGTTATTATAGCATAATGGCAGCCTATAGAGATACAGGGAGGATGCAGGTGCAGGATGCATGGGGGGTGATGGAGACACTCACCTTGGCTGAACGGTGATCCCACATCAGAGTCCACCCCTTCACTGGGGCTTGAACCCACGCTGTCCACCCAGGCGCTGCAGGCGTCCTCAAACTCAGACATAAAGCTGTCGTCCCTTTCCAGAAGCATCCTTATAGATCAGATAGAAACGGTTCAGTTCGGGATCCCCCCTTTTTAAAAATGTCAGTAATAATCCGTGAGCTGAATCTGCTTCCAGGCAGAGATGCTGAGGATGCTGAGCTCTCTCCGCGCGCTGCCGCCTTTTATACTCTCCGTCTCCAAGGTAACTCCCGGCCTGCCGTTATTGGTCCACACCGGCGCGAGGGATTCCCCCCGCCGTGCCCCTTCGTAGCTGCCCAAATATGGACCGCTTCCGGCTGTGACGACGGGTATCCCCCATGCCTTAAAAGGACAGGCGGCAGAGCGACGCACAGGAGCGGTGAGAGGGGGTTTCCTTCACTGCGGCAGCGGAGAGGCAGAGAGAGGTTACACAACAAGGGATGGAGGGATGAGAGAGGACAGAAAACACAGGAAATCTCTGGCTTTTTGACGCATTTTAGGGGAAACCACAAACTTAGAATCAGTCTGCAGCTCTGGTCAAGGTGTTTGGGGTCTGCAGGTTGATGGTTTTCATGCATTTGGAGATAAAAGAGATAAAAAGGATCAAATATGAGCCTCAGTCATCTTCAGCCTTCTGCTGCAGCACTGCAGACTAGGGGTGGGTATTGCCAAAGAAGTCACGATTCGATTCGAATCACGATTCACAGGCCACGATGCGATTCTATCACGATGCATCACGATACTTGAATTATTGCGATGCATTGCAATATTTTCTCCTCCATGTTTTGTTTTTGAATGACTCGGCACAGTATCCCATGGCCGGAAATGCTTGTGACACAAGGCAGCGTGCGTCAACACATTTGCAGCGACATCTACTGGACTGGAAGTGGTATTGCACTTGTTTTTGGCTGATGTTCGCCAACCATTCATGCAATTTTATTTATTCATTTTTTAAAATTAATAATCGATTCTTGGCATCAAGAATCGATGCAGTAGATCACGAAAATTAGAATCACGATGCATCATCATCACGATTATTTTGCACACCCCTACTGCAGACACACATTATCACACATTACTGAGCCACATGTGACATTCCTGCACAGCCACATGCAGCTGCTGGGAAGTTGTCACCATGGAGACAGATGGAGGATTCAGGCCAGTTACATAAAAAAGGTGCTGGATCTACTGGTTTTAACCTGAATCATCAAACCGGGCGGATGTGTGGGGACAGACACTGATCCGGACCGGATCTGGATGAAGAGTCGGAGCATCAGGAACATCATTTTGGGCTTCGTTCGGCTGTTTTCAGTATAAACCATAAAAGGCAGCAGAGCTGTTATGTAACGCAGAGGCGCTGCATGTTTGCAGGATGCATGAAAACAAACAGGAGCTCACTCAATGTTTCTCTGCAAAACTGAAAAAAAGAAAATGCTTTTTTATCTCAATAACACTTACTTTAAAATCCAACGACTGCTAAAGAATGTGCATCACCTAATATCCATTAATCTATGAAAATAATCAAATCCTCTGGGGATTTAATCCTGGTCAGATGTGCTAAAGCAGGAATCATCCAGGATGAATCCGGATCAGATCCCAGAACCACCTCCACTAAATCCATGAATGCATAGCAGCATCATCTCTGGCCTGAGCTCCTCTCCCCCTCTCAGAGGGTAGCCCCGGCCTCCCTGGAGACCTCTGGGATGTTTCAGACTCCAGGTCTGCTCACAGAAGATGCATAAATACTTCGACTCTCACTTTCACATTAAATTTTAACCGATCTATGGCGCCTCATAAAGTATTCATTCTCCTTGAACTTTTTCAGAAGTTTATTGGGGGTTTATGTGATACATCAGGGTCCTGGTGCCTTTATAATCCACAGAGACATTTAAACCAGGTTATCCTGAGCTATCTCTATAGTTATGCTGCTAAAGGCTTAGACTGCTGGAGGACATGGCGACTCCAATTTCATCATTCTGCTTCATTTCTCTATTCTCCCACTCTGCAGAATCTGTTAGTTCAATCTCTAACGTTCTGCTCTCTCTGCTTTTTCTCATAGTAGCTTCATCTGGTCTGTTTCTGTTTGGCTGTGACTCCATCCTGGAGAGAAATATCAGCTGTGCTGCTTCCATCAACACCTTTGTTTCTAGATGTTGGAGATCGGCCTGTTTTCCAGTGTAGTCCTGTTTCTCTGACTGTGACTAACTGGATGTGCTCTCTTCATCCTCTGACATGGGAGCTGGCTCGGAGCTCGTCTGCCTGGCTGTGTGTTTCCTCGATGGGGCCGTCTTCTACAGCTGCTTTTTGTATCTCTGCTTCTGTCTCCTTGAACCCCAGTGGGCCTCAGCAGATGGCCGCTCACTCTGAGCCTGGTTCTGCTGGAGGTTTCTTCCTGTTAAAAGGGAGTTTTTCCTCTCCACTGTCGCTACAAGCATGCTTAGTATGAGGGATTGCATTCAAGTCAATGATCCGATGCAATCAACTGGTTTTCCTTAGATAAAAACTTTGAATCAATCTGACTGAATGATCTGGTGAACTATAAAGTGCCTTGAGATCTGTGTTGTGAATTGGAGCTATAGAAATAAACTGAATTAAATTGGATATCTTCTGTCCAGCTGAATGAAAATAGTCCAGATCTTAGGACGTTACCTGACCTGAAAAACACAATGTTTTGATAAATGAAAGAAAACTACTTTGCTTTTTTAAGGTTGTAAAATAATGAAAAACACAAAAAAGTATAAGAATACATTTATTATTGTAGAAAAAAAAATTATTAGTAAATTTCTGCTTAATCGAACATTAAAAGAGGTCACTGCACAAGAAAAATTTAATAAAAATTGTATTCGTTGCCTTTAAAAGGACTTTTCATGTGGTTCACCATGATCTACTTTTATATGAAATGTCATATTTTATTTATTCAGCTGAGAAAGTTAGATGGTTTGCATCTTACCTTCAAACTAGAGCACAATGCATTAAAGTAGACCGAAACCAATCAGGAATTTTAACCATTAAATAACGGCGTCCTGCAAGGCTCTATACTCGGTCCTTTGCTTTTAGGGCTTTTCGGAAATCGTTTGCCTTTGCCCTGTGGAGCTAAAGTGCCAGTACTTGTTTCTATGCCGACGACGCAGTCATTAATGCACCTGCTAAGTGAGCTGAGATAGCTGCAGGTTTTATTCAGCTGTATGCCTGATATCCAAGATTAGCTTATCCAAAACCAGTTAGCTCCGAATCTGTGAAAACTCTCCATGTGTTTCTTTGTTAGGAAACTTGAAGATTAATAAAATCACCCTGTAACAGAATTGAAATACCTTAGATTGATTTTAGATTCTCATCAGAGATTTGATAAACTCATAAAAACTATCTGAAAAACAGTGAAAAGTTTCCAACTACATACCAAACCACTCAGCTCTGCCATACGTGCATCTATGATCTTCTCTCACATATCATCTTGCATGACAGCCTGGACTCAGGCTGCTCCTACTGTTACCAAACGCATTGGTTCTTTATACTATAGAGCGATAAATAGATGGAGAAAACGCCAATACGCCTTCACTGCTGTTCAGTTCAAATGAAAAAATAAACTAATAAGCTTTAATAACTTTAGAAATGTCTTTTTTCTTAAACATTGAGCAGCTGAGCCTCTATATACAATAGAATAGATCAACCAATACTGGAGTCACTAGAAGCTTTCTCTATTTAAAGTATTAAACTCTCACTGCTGTAACATTTTAAGGTCATAACCAATGTAATCATGTTCATCTCCAGGATTTATGAATAATTGAAGATGAGTCAGAGCTGTACTCATTTTTAATGATATAATGGTAGATTAACTAGAATTCAATAATAGTTTTATATCTCTATCTGGTTATATTGATCTATTTATTGTTATTTATCATTTCATTGGTATTTATTCTGTTAAACTCCTTCTATGGATAGGTGTTATGAATTATCCATTGGCTATAAATACTATATAAACACTATGATGCAGGCATGAGATTGTTTCATTAATAGTGATCTGTAGTTATTTGTTTTTATCAAATGCAAATTTTATGGTAGCAATATAGATGCTGCACTTTTAGCTTCAGTCATGTTGAAATGGGATCACAGTTTTCATCTGGTTTGTCTAATTAGGCTACCTTCACTGCAGCCTGAAGCGACCCAGATCAGATGTTTTTAACCCGTACAGATCTGATTGTTTCAAATGTGACACATGCATCTGGGTTATGTGGCCATAAATGGATAAATGCATCTGATTAGTTTTAAATGTGACCTGTGTCTGAATGCCCATTCATTCATCCTGTATTCATCCACTCAATAACAAGCATCATTATTCTGCTTCCTGCTACTTGGAAACTGGAAGAAAAACAGCCACGGCAGGAGCAATGCAGTGAGCAGCCGATGGAGAGGAAGCAAGGCTTCTGATTGGATTAATATTTGGAAGGATTTACTCTATTCAGACCAAACCTAGCAGAACAGATCTATATTTGATGGATAGATGCGCTCCAGCAGTACCATCCATGATGACTTCCACAGTCACAGAGGACGCTCGCTACTCCTGACGCCGGTGCATCCTCTGCTGCACATGCAGGAGACTGGAGTGAATGCAGTTCACACAGGAGATCAGATACAAGTCAGGTAGATTTGGAAATATGAACGACTGTGAGAAAACAATCAGATTTCACACAGAAAATAATAATTTTGCAATTAAGCCTTAGACTTAGACAAACGTTATTGTCATTTTGTATACAGCTTTCAGACAGTCAATAAGCTTAGCATTAAAAAAAAAAGCATTTCCATTTCTAAAGTGCAACAGTGATCAAATGTAAACAGTTTAGGAGAGACGTGGTGCAAAAAGGCATTAATGAGGAAGTTCAGAGCATTGGAAAAATAAATAAATGACATGGTGCAAAAATGCAATAGAAGACATTTGAGTTGAGTTCTTTTTTGTATGATGTTATCAGTGTGATGCAGAGTCTCAATTTGTGACTTTATTTAGTGTTTGTTTAATAGTTCAGCTGTCTGATGATGGTGGGAAAGAAGCTGTTTAGGAATCTGATGGACCTGCATCGGATGCTTTGAAGCCTCCTCCCAGAGGGCAGCAGGGAGAACAGTCCATGGTGGTGGGGTGAGGGGTCACTGATGATGTAATGGGCTCAGGACAAGCAGCGCTGGGTTGAAATGTCT